GTAGTTTGTAGAGGGTTATCAGTTACAGACACTGAAGTGGCAAAATATGAGAAAAACATGTTTTTGAATGTTTGATCCGATAAGAGAGGTGTGTGCCCATGACATAGGGAAAAGACATGTATATAAGGAGACTGAAAGATCCAAATGTCAGAGACAGCCTTCTTTGAAGACACTGGTCTTGGCTGTTTCTCCCTGTGTGGCCACACTTGAATAAAGATTTTGCTTCACCTACGGAGACTGCTTGCTTTCTGTCACCAGCCTTGGGGTGCCTAACTAAAGGGATACCCTTCATTCCTTTTTCCTTCCATTTTCCCCAGCATAATTGTCTTCTCTAAGCTTTCCTGTCTTCTCATGATGTGGCCAAAGCACTTCATCTTTGCCTCTAATATCCTTCCCTCCAGTGAGCAGTCAGGCTTTCGTTCCTGAAATATGGACTAGTGTGATAGCAAAAGAGAAGTGCTTTCAATGGTTCTTCTTCCTGGAGAGAAGTGACTTGTGGAATGCAACAGAATTTTGTTTGGTTCAGTGTTTTTTGACTCCTTTGTAAATAACTTGGGGCCCTTCCACACAGCCATATAACCCAGAATATCAAGGCAGATAATCTACAATATCTGTTTGAACTGGATTATCTGAGTCCACACTACCATATAATCCAGTTCAATGTGGATTTTATACAGCTATGTGGAAGGGGCCTTGGATGAAGGAATAGAGGGTAGGCTCATTAAAGCTTCAGATGTCCTGGGTGAGAGAAATAATTCTTGTCTGCCTGAAGCAAGTCTGAATGCTGCAATTGGCCACCTTGATTAGCATTTAATGGCCTTGCAGCTTCAAAGCCTGGCTGATTGCTGCCTGGAGATCCTTTGTTGGGAGGGGTTAGTTGGCTCTGATTGATTCTTGTCTGGAGTCCCCTGTTTTCTAACTGTTGCTCTTTATTTACTGTTCTGATTTTAGAGGTTTTTTAAAAAATACTGGTAGCCAGATTTTGTTCATTTTCATGGATTCCTCTTTTCTGTTGAAATTGTCCACATGCTTGTGGATTTCACAGACAACACAGAGAAGTCAAGCTTGTGGATAATTTCAACATAAAGGAGGAAACCATGAAAATTCTCAAAATCTGGGTACCAGTATTAAAAACTCTAAAATCAGGACAGTAAATAAAGAGCTACACTCAAAGAACAGGGGAAGTCCTGACATGAAATAATCAGAGCCAGCTAACACCTCCCAACAAAGGATTCCCCCAGGCAGCAACCAACCAGGCTTTGAAGTTGCAAGGCCATTAAATGTTAATCAAGGTAGTCAACTGAAACATTCACACATACCTTAAGAAGACAAGAGTTCTTTCTCCCACCCTGGACATTCCACAGATATATAAACCTCCTTTGCCTAATTTCCACAGACCTCACAACCTCTGAGGATGCCTACCATAGATGTAGATGAAATGTCAGAAAAGAATGCTTCTGGAAAATGACCACATATGCTGGAAAACTCACAGCAACCAAATGGCACTAAGGTTAGGGATTTGGGTTAGCTCTGGGGCACAATACTCTGATATTGCAGTTGGATTATTTAGTTGGTGTAGACAACCCCTGAATCATCCTGGCCTCCTATGAAAGGAGGGGCTGCCGCTTTGGAGCTTGGGTACCTGTATCCACCCATTCCCAGCTGCTGCCAGGGTTCTTTGCATCAGTGCAAAGGTATGTATTTGTGCTATACTTTGAAAACCTTTCTGAACTGAAACAGCAATCTGTAGGAGAGAAAGGTGATGGATACATGCGTCTGGAACCCTTATGGCTTTGTAGGGAAGGCAGGGAGTGGAGGCCACACATCACAATTCAAGAGTCTTTTGTTGTATAAGCTCTAACAGCTGCATTTACAACAAGCTTGGGGGGGGGGGGGACAATTTCCAAGGATTGAAGATGAGCTTTCCACCAGCCACAGCAGCAACATACAACCTGGAAATCCTCTTCATGTGTGCTATAGCAAAAACCTCTGTAAATGCAAGCTCTAGCAAGAATGATAGTACAATAGAGTCTCACTTATCCACCATGAACAGGCCAGTGTTGGATAAGTGAAAATGTTGGATAAAACGGCGGGATTAAGGAAAAACCGATTAAGTTACGATTTTACAAATTAAGCACCAAAACATCATGTTTTACAACAAATTGACAGAAAAGGCATCTCCACTGAAGCTTTCTTATCAATCCTTGTTTCCACAACAAGCCATGCCCCCCCCCCATCCAATTATCACAAGGACAGAAAGTAAGCTGAAACCTTCTGAAGAGAGGCACAGACACCTAAAGAAACACCACATTTGTTATCCAGAGCAAAAACATAAGTATATATTGGGCTGGAGTTATACTTTAAAATGTACTTGTTCCGACTTACATACAATTCAACTTTTGAACAAACCTACAGAATGTATTGTCGAAGGTTTTCACGGCCAGAATCATTGGGTTGTTGTAAGTTTTTCAGGCAGCATGGCCATGTTCCAGAAGCATTCTTTCCTGACCTTTCGCCTGCATCCATCGCAGGCATCTTCAGAGGTTGTGAGGTTTGTTGGAAACTAGGAAAACTGGGTTTATATATCTGTGGAATGTCCAGGGTGGAAGAAAGAACTCTTGTCTGTTGGAGGTAGGTGTGAATGTTTTAATTGGCCACCTTGATTAGCATTTAATGGCATAGCAATTTTCAAGGTATGGCTTCTTACTGTCTGGGGGAATCCTTTGTTGAGAGGTGATTAGCTGTCCCTGATTGTTTCTTGTCTGGAATTCCCCTGTTTTTGAATGTTGTTCTTTATTTACTGATATGATTTTAGAGGTTTTTTAAATACTGGTAGCCAGATTTTGTTCATTTTGTTCATAACCTGGGAAGTGCCTGTACTCCAAAACTGTTTACCCCCTTCTCTCCCCCCTTAAATTCTGGAAGGCCAGCTAGAAGAGACTTTGCTTTTCTAGTTCTGTGTGGGCTGCCCCATTCTAAGCTTATTTTCTCACCCTGTGTTCACAGACCAGGGGAATCCTCCTGCCAAGCTGGTGCCAAAGGAGGAGGTCACATCCAGTTCCAAGAATAGCACAGGGTTTTTTCTGCCTGGAGAAGCCCTTGGTGAAGACCCAGGGGTTTGGAGAGGGGAGGCACCGACTGTTTCCCACCCTGCCCCCTCTGTCCCATTCCCATCAAAGCCGAAGGGAGGCTGGACAGGGAACGCCGCTTAGAGAAGATGAGGATGAGCTATTCTGGGTGCTATTATGGGAAAGCCTGGTGCAAGACACAACAAGTGCATTCCTGCCGGGCTGCTGCCAGGCTCCCTGGGAACCGGCTGCGATGGCTGATGTTGGCCAGGGCCTGGGCTGGACCGACTCCTTTGTCCGAACACATCCCCATTTTCAGACCAAGAAAGGTTACGCTCTGCTTTTCATGGCACTGGCTTAAGTCTCCCATCACCACAGGGCCATGACCCCTTGTCCCAGCCGGAGGGATAGGCAACTGGAGATGTTGACCTTGCTTGGCATGTTATTAAAGGGAAATGAGCTTCTCTTCGAAAGAAATGGAACAGAGACGGGGCAACAAAAACAGTCCTGCGCCCCATGTTCTCTGAAAGTCTCTTTGAACATAACTCCATAGAAGAGCCTGGAAGCAAAGCATTACAAGTATAATAGATTCTCAGTTAACCATAAATCAACTGGAAAAAACCCCTACAGAAATAATAATAATAATAATAATAATAATAATAATAATAATAATAATAGCAAAGACTCTGGCACAAGCTAGTAAAGATGGTCCCGGTGGTGATCTGCACACTGGGTGCAGTGCCTAAAGACCTTGGCCTGCACTTAAACACAATTGGCGCTGAAAAAATTACCACATGCCAGCTGCAAAAGGGCACTTTACTGGGATCTGCACGCATTATTTGCCGATACATCATACAGCCTAGACACTTGGGAAGTGTCCGACGTGTGATCCAATACAACAGCCAGCAGAGTGATCTTGTTTGCTGTGGACTCATCTACACTGCCAGATAACCTGGGTTATCTGGCAGTGTAGAAGGTGCCTGAGAGTCTACTACAGTTGTAATTTAACAAGGTCTTTCCCTTTTCTACATTTATCCAGTGTCTACCAATCCCCATAGGTGCAAGTTATCTCAGTCTGGATTCTCACTGCCATATAATGCAGTTTGAATTTGGCACATAAATGATCAGATTTTTCGATTGCCAAGTCCTTTGTTTTGGTTTCTCAGGGCTTGTGTCCAGATGACAAGTTCCCCTGGTGTGGCTTGATTGGTGATGCATCTATGCCAGGGGTCCTCAAACTTTTTAAACAGAGGGCCAGGTCACAGTCCCTCAAACTGTTGGGAGTCCAGATTATAATTTGAAAAAAACATGAACGAATCCCTATGCACACTGCACATGTCTTATTTGTAGTGCAAAAAACACTTAAAAACAATACAATAATTAAAATGAAGAACATTTTTAACAAATATAAACTTATTAGTATTTCAATGGGAAGTGTGGGCCTGCTTTTGAGATAGGATTGTTGTTGTTGTTGCATGCTTTCAAGTTGTTTCAGACTTCGGTTGACCCTGAGCGAGGGTTGGGTAAATGACCTTGGAGGGCCATATCCGGCCCCCGGTCCTTAGTTTGAAGACCTCTGATCTATGCTGTAGAATGAATGAAGTTTGATGCTACTTGAACTGCCGTGGCTTTGGATTTGTGGGAGTTGTCTGTTTACAAGGTCTGTAGCCTTCTCTGCCAAAAAGTACTGGTGCATCACCAAATGACAACTCCAATGATTCCATAGAACTCAGCTATGGCAGTTCAAGTGGTGTCAGACTGCATTCATTCTACATTGTAAATGTACCTTGGAACTCAACTAAAAACTTTGTATTTTTGGTCCTTGGAAGGGCAAATCTTCTACCCTTTCTCTCCTCCCAGCGAGGCAGCTCTGGCAGGCCTGTGCCGGCAAGCGGGACAGGCGCTGTGTGCGCTATGGAGCAGAAAGAATAGGCTGTGACATTCCCGTAGCTTAGAGACCGTTAGTCCCTTTCAGCGTCCCAGCTCCATTTGAATAAAAATCAGTCTCCAGCCCCACTTGCCCACACGAAGAGAGGGGGGTTGGGAAGAGCCGGGTTATTTTTACCCGTTGCCAGTTACGTTCGCACGGCCGGAGTTCTCACGCCGGCTGGACAGCAGCAAATGGGGACACCTCTGAGGGGCAAGAGGGGACTTCCTTGGTGATTTGTAGGTCCAGGAATAGGGAGAAGCCACACACACTCTCTGCGAAATCCCACTTGCCTCATGTCTCAACTTGAAGAGGGAGATGAAGCTGCACCAGACAAGACCTTGGGAGCCCCAACTTGGATGTGAGTATAAGAGCATCAAGTAGCTTCTTTGACTGAAAGGACTGAGTTGGCTCTCTCTATACTTCTATTAATTCTATCTCTATCTCTTTCTATCTGTATTTCCAATCACACTGTTGCCCAAACAAGACAGAATGAAATTTCAGCTACTAAGAGTATATATTGAGATAACTGAGATACTTTCTGTTCCTCGAAGGATGTGTATGTGTTGCATCATAAGTTTCCTGCTATTTGTGGTGGGAGGAATGACAGGATCTTCTAGGGTCATAGGGTGGATGGTGTTTGTTTCAAGGCTTGTGGGTTTGATTGAGTTTTTAAAATGGGAATGGTTAATATGGGAAATCTGTGGTCTGACCATAGGCAAGCAAGTGGAGTAAAACTGGGTAAAATACCTCTCTTTGAGGGTGACTCTGTGTTATTTCAGATTTACACACAACTTGCAGCTTCCCACCTGTTCGAGGTTCTCCCAAATCATAGGTAAACCCTCTTTTCACATGATCTTTATTTACTCACAGCTTGAGGTGCATCTACACCAGTGGTTCCCAACCTGTGGTCCATGGACCATCAGTGGACCACAAGAACTAAAATATGGTGTGCACAATCACCATTACTACACCGTTGCCTCAAAACCATGCAGCAACGAGAGCAACTGGTCTCATGAAACCCTCATGCTGAGACAATGGGGATGTTGGGAGGGGAGAGGCTGACTACCAATGAAAGATTACTACTACCACATCAGCTCTAGATTATTAAATACGGTTTTCTGTGGGTGAGCAGATGGCAACTACTGGATGGCATATGTTCTGTATCAAACACTAGAGCTGATGTGATCTGCCCAATGCAATTTTCTGAATCAGCACCCCCAAATAACCAAACCGAACCTAACGTTGACCAAAAACAGATTTGTAACTCTTTTGGTTCTAATGTTGGAGAGTGGTCAAAGTGGTCCCTGGTCAAGTGGTCCCTGGTCAAGTGGTCTGCAGTCTAAAAAAAGGTTGGGTACTACTGATCTACACTGCCAAATTAATGTAGCTTTGCACCATTGTAGTTTCTATGGCCCATGCTATGGAATCATAGGAGCTGTAGGTTTAGAAGGTCTTGAGCCTTCTGTACCACAGAGTGCTGGTGCCTGTATAGACTATATCTTCCAGGATCCTGAGACCATGACAGTAAAAGTGGCATCAAACTGTATTAATTCTACACCGTAGAGGCACCCTAGTCTAATATGGACCCCTTCCTTTCTACACTATTCCCCCACCCCACCCCATCAGCTGTTCACATAAAACCATAGTTAAATATTACCCTCAAAATGAATTGCCCACACCTTAATTTATCCAGATGGGGTCACCTCCAGTGCACACAGATTATAAGTGTACTAATTGACTTGGTCAGTTATTCTGAACTAGGAAATAAATCTGTCACGTGAGGCTGGCAAATCTTGCTATCTAAACTGAATCAGAGATGACAAACTTTCCATTGAGTTGTCGAAGGCTTTCATGGCTGGAATCACTAGGTTCTTGTGGGTTTTTTCGGGCTATAGAGCCATGTTCTAGAGGCATTTCTCCTGACGTTTCGCCTGCATCTATGGCAAGCATCCTCAGAGGTTGAGAAGGTCAACCTTCCATTGAGTTTCTTGAGACTCCTGCCTTCCAGAGGGCCTATTTCATTTCAGTTCCAGGACATTGCCTTAATAGCCCATTCCAACCATACTACGTGTGGCCTCTTCTCATCCTACTATCACAATTCACCCTCTGTAATCAGAAGATTTAGACAAGAAGGAGTTGGATGCCTAGGAATGTGTGTTGGTCTCTCCAGGTTTGGGGAACTGGGGGGGGGGGGTTGAGGCAGTGGGGCTCCCCATCAGGAGGTGGCAAACACTGAATAGGTCAAAGACATGCTACAATTATTTGTTGAATGACAAAGAGATAAGGAGAGATTATGTCAATTCCATTGCCTGTTAAATAGGGGACGCTGATTAATTAGGCAACTTGTATTTTGAGACAGTTGTCTATAAATCTTCCTGTAGTTCACCTGTATTCTTTCCTGGTGATGTACGTAGGGCTTTATCACACTGGATTCTATGTTCTGTATTTTGCATTGGGTTAGGTAGAGTCCCCAGTGGTGCAGTGAGTTAAACACTTGTGCCAGCAGGACTGCTGACCAAAAGGTTGGCGGTTCAGATCCAGAGAGCTGGGTGAGCTCCCATCTGTCAGCTCCAGCTTCTCACGCGGGAACATGAGAGAAACCTCCCACAGAATGGTAAAAAATCTGGGTGTCCCCTGGGCAACATCCTTGCAGACAGCCAATTCTCTCACACCAGAAGCGACTTGCAGTTTTTCAAGTCGCTTCTGACACGAAGAAAAAAAATGTGCTAGGTCAGATCTTTGAGAGCACAGATTTTATTCTCACCTCCTTTCAGGCCCAAAAGAATAGTCCTCTGCTTTTGTTGCCTTCAAACACAATTTGTGTCTTAATCTGGCTTTTGGAGTAGCGAAGTGCACTGGGCTCTAAACCCCAACCGACGATCTTAGCAGATAGCTGAAATCACACATCTATATGAGGAACTAGCATTTGTATTTTCCAAATATTTGGACATGTTATGATTAACCATATTGGTTTATTACATACTGGCTTCTCTTATCTGGATTGTTGACTTGTTATGACCAGTCCTGGACTGCCTGATGTTCACTCGCTTGTTTCACTTTTCATTGTGTTGATAACTTGGGACTTCCTGGGGCTGAATTCAATACTCAATAACTCTTACACCCCAACCACCTGGTTCCTTGGTCACTTGCTGACTAGAGCACAGGACACATATGTTGTCTTTGGTGATCTGATATTTCCCCTTTTCAGAGATGTGAAACCTGGAGTTGGGGAGCACACCCAGACAAGAGTAGGAGGATAGGAATGAGAACACTTGGGAGGGGGGAAATGTCCTTTTTTTTTTCATTATAGAGGACTCCCCCTCCCCCCAACCACATTTCATCTTCCAGTGAGAAACCAAGATAACATTGGGAAAACAATTTTGTATGTAATATGCTTTTTTAAACAGAATTATATAGTTTTTAAATGAATTGTTTTATGTACACTGCATAATGTGAAGATTTCTAATTGAGACAGCCTGCTGCTTTAGAGAGGGATAATTTTCAAGTATGTTACAGATATGCAAAACTTGAATCAGGCATGTACCTGGGGGGGGGGGGGGGGCTTGAGGGGCTTCACCCCCCCCCCCAAATTCTCATGGTGGTCCGCGAGGCTTTACAGGTACATTATTTAAACTGTTATGTTTATTCATATCATGATCTGATCACCATGCTCAATATATCCCATATGCATGGGGGTATTGGGGTAACGATACAAAAGGTTTGCTAGGGTAGACCCTCTTTCACTCAGACTCAGCCCCCCAAATCAAACTCACCCCCCGCCCCAAATCAAAATCCTGGCTACGGGCCTGAATTGAATGTATTTCTGTACCTGAGAAGATGATATCCTCCAATTGTCCTAGTTTGGCAGAGACAATCCTGAGTAATGCTCCAGTCGCACTTTTGACCTTTCCAAACAGCCATATAACCCAGAATATCAAGGCAGAAAATCCCACAATATCTGCTTTGAGCTGGATTATCTGAGTCCGCGTTGTCATATATTCCAGTTCAAAGCAGATAATGTGGGATTTTATTCAACTGTGTGGAAGGGGCCTTTATAGTTGCTTTAAAAATATCCCAGTTTCTCTCTCCTTGTAAGGCCCTTCTATGCTTCATATAAAAACCAGATTATCTGCTTTAAACTGGATTATATGACAGTTCAAAGTAGATAATGTGGATTATATGCTGTGATAATCCAGATTATGTGGCAGTGTAGAAGGGGCCGCAGTAGGACCAGGCAACACAAACACCTCCAGCCTTTCCTTGCTTTGTATGTGATCCACATTGCTGACCTTTGCAATCGTGATTCTATGCCGATATGGTTATGCCATACATGTCCCAGTTTTCATCTGTGAAATATTGGAAGATAGGTCAGATCCATGTGCTTCCTAAGGACCCTTCTACACTGCTATATAATTCAGATTATCAAAGGAGATAATATTTGAACTGGATTATATGGCAGTATACACCAGGCATGGGCAAACATCGGTCCTTCAGGTGTTTTGGATTTCAATTGTGGAAGTTGAAGTCCAAACACCTGGAGGGCCGATGTTTGCCCATGCTTGGTGTAGACTCGTATAATCCAGTTCAAAGCAGATAATTTGGATTTTATATGGCAGTGTAGAAAGGGGCCTAGAACTGGCTGCATCAGTTTGCATGAACTATTCTGCCTTGGTCAGATCACATGTAGAATACTGTCCAGTTTTGGGCACCGAAATTGAAGAGAGATATTGACAAGCTGTAATGTGTCCAGAGGAGGGTGACTAAAATGATCAAGGGTCTGGAGAAAAGTCCTATGAGGAGTGGCTTAAAGACTTGGGCATGTTTAGCCTGCAGAAGAGAAAGCTGAGAGGAGACATGATAGCCATGTATAAATATGTGAGAGGAGGTCATAGGGAGACTAGGACGCAGAACAGTGGCTTCAAACTACAAGAAAGGAGATTCCATCTGAACATTAGGAAGAACTTCCTGATTGTGAGAGCAGTTCAGTAGTGGAACTCTCTGCGGTGTGGTGGAGGCTCCTTCTTTGGAAGCTTTTAAACAGAGGCTGGATGGCCATCTGTCAGGGGTGATTTGAATGCAATATTCCTGCTTCTTGGCAGGGAGTTGGACTGGATGGCCCATGAGGTCTCTTCCAACTCTTTGATTCTATGATTCTATGGCATCCATTTATTTGAAGCACTAGTCCTTCATGTGTCTATGCAGGCAGAAGCTTCTCTAAATAAAGTGGGTCCTTTTCAGTGAATAATCATTGAATTGGAAGAGACCTCCTGAGCCATCAGGTCCAGAAGCAGGAAAACTGCATTCAAAGCACCAGTGAAAATGCACTGGATTGCATCTTCATTAAAATTATAAACAGTACATATTTAAATGGTGATTAGGATGCCAAGAATGTATTTTATGTTCAAGGTGTAATGAAAAAAAGATATAGTTGATAAGAAAGTATTGCAGATATTTCTGCCATCCCTCTCCCTGAGTTTTTAGTGGGATTGTTTCTCTAGCATGTCGGAATTTCCAGGAAATTTTTATCTTGTGATTAGCAGAAAGACACAACAATTCAAAGGTTTTCCCCACTCACACGTATGCCCTTGACTGACATTGTCATTTTCTCAGTTATGGGGTAAGGAGCCTCTGGTGGCACAATGGGTTAAACCTTTATACCGGCAGGACTGAAGACCCACATGTTGGAGGTTCGAATACGGGGAGAGCACGAATGAGCTCCCTCTGTCAGCTCCAGCTCCGCATGCAGGGATATGAGAGAAGCCTCTCACGAGGATGGTAAAACATCAAAACATCTGGGCGTCCCCTGGGCAACGTCCTTGTAGACGGCCAATTCTCTCACACCAAAAGTGACTTGCAGTTTCTCAAGTTGCTCCTGACATGCATGATGATGATGATGATGATGATGATGATGATGATGTTATGGGGGAAGTATAGCAGGAGAACTTTCAGATTTTGAGCTGGAACTCCATACTTTCTTCCTTTTTTCCCTCTTTCCAGGTTGAAAACCTTGATGCTGCCAATGCCACTGCTGCTCTACTTGCTTCTCTGGGGTAAGTGCTGATGCCAATGTTTCCCTTTGGGACTTGAGCTGTTACTATAAATGAGCATTTCCCAGATGTGCAAGCCTTTATATAGGCTTGCCCGCTGTTCTGTCTTGGGGGACTTAGTCAGTCTATTATAGCTGCTCATTAAATAGAGACTAGGAGTAGGTTCATGGACTCTGGAAGAGGGGGAGTTCTTATAGGGCTTGAGTGGATCCTCAGATGAAGCTGGCTCTACACCGTAGAATTAAGCAGTTTGGTCCCTTGCTGTTTAAGGAAGGACCACAGTTGAGAAGTGGAGTCCCCTTCTACACTGCCATATATTGTAGTTTTCCAACTTTTAAATTTTATGATGATAGGTTGCTGTGAATTTTCCGGGCTGTATGGCCATGTTCCAGAAGCATTCTCTTCTGACGTTTATGATGATGCTTATATTATGTTAAGCATCATCCAGAATCCACCTCTATAGTAATTTCTGGGACATTGAATCATAGAATCCTAGAGTTGGAAGAGACCTCATGGGCCATCCAGTCCAACCCCCTGCCAAGAAGCAGGAAATCGCATTCAAAGCACCCCTGACAGATGGCCATCCAGCCTCTGTTTAAAAGCCTCAAAAGAAGGAGCTTCCACCACACTTTGGGGCAGAGAGTTCCACTGCTGGAGAGCTCTCACCATTAGAAAGTTCTTCCTAATGTTCAAGTGGAATCTCCTTTGCTGTAATTTGGAGCCATTGTTCATTGTCCTAGTCTCCTAGTCTATTTTCTGCCCAAGTGTCAGTGCTTCACCAAACTACAAATCCCGTTATTCCATAGACAAGTAAAAAGTAGCACCAAACTGCATTAATTCTATAATGTAGATATACCGTTAGGCATTCCTAGAGAAAACATTTAATCAAATCCACAAAAGTCAAACTGCAAATTTGGATGACTGAGTATACAGGCAGTCCCTGAGTTACAAACATCTGACTTATAAGCAACTCATAGTTAAGAACGGGGATGAGACAACAGGAAGTGAGAGAAATCTACCCCTTGGAAGGGAAATTAATTCCTGGAAGAGTTATCATGGGGAAAAGGTGTCTCCACTGAAATTTTATCTCCAATCCTTGTTTCCACAACAACCACATTCTTCAAAATCTAATTATCACAGGGACAGGAAATGGGGTGAAATCTTCTGAACAGGGGCACAGACTACAAAATAAACACCACAGGGATGTTAGCCCTTCCCTATGTTATCCAAAGCATATATATTCGGCTGGAGTTACACTTTAAAATGTGCCTGTTTTGACTTACAGACAAATTCAACTTAAGAACAAACCTACAGAACCTACCATATATACTCGAAGTTAAGCCGGGTTTTCAGCTCCCCACTTTTTATTTTTGAGCTGAAAAAGCCTCCCTCGGCATATAATGGGGTCAAGGCTGGGCAGAGGAGCCTGGAGGCAATTGCTTGCAATCTATATAAATAAAAATGTAATGTTCGTTTGTGGGATTAACATAACTCAAAAACCCAAAAACTATCAGGTGACTATCACTCATAAAAACACTGAAAAACACAACAGAAGACTTTAAAAGGAAAAAAAATACATTACAACACATGTGCAAAACTGCATATATAAACACAAACACACATATATAGACATATACACAAATATATACACACACAAAGCAAATATACACAGACTGGGCCACAGCAACATGTGGCAAGGGACAGCTAGTATATGATATATATATATATATATCCTCGTCACCTCCCTTGACAATGTGTTTTCTTTTCCAGTCAAAAGGGAGGGAAGGGAGGAGATATATTTCATGCCCTCCTTGTTTGTATGGCTCCCATTCAGACCTATCCAATTTCCAGGGTTTCTTTTTTTGTTTATGTAAATGTATTAACTTTATATGTGCATTTTTGTTCCCTTGGAAGTTTTCCCCTCATATGTTTGTAGGTCTTTGCAAATCCTATATACATATAGATATCTAGAGATTTCCATGTAATAATAATAATAATAATAATAATAATAATAATAATAATAATAATTCCAAACCACATTGTGACTTGTTGAGACATTCACAAAACAAGTCTCTGCTGACAAAGCCACCTTTGGACCATTCACTCCCTCAGATGCAACGACAAGTGCAGCTTCATCCATAATGCCTCTCCCCCCTGCTAACCTCTTTGACCTTTGTCCACTTTTTAGAAATAAGGCCCCCCTCCATTTATACTCGATTAAGGGTGGTGGCAGGAAGGCTTGGGGCTGAAAGTGTCATGAATAAATATATTTACTTTGAATAAATAGTACGAAAGGTGTATGGATGGGCCTAATTTGGGTGAAGACACCATTCTAAAAGATTAATGGTCCAGCGTGCGGCAGCCAGGTTGCTAACGGGAGTGCCTACTCAGGGAGCACACAACTCTGCTGTTGCGCCAGCTCTACTGGCTACCAGTTTTCTACTGGGCACAATTCAAAGTGCTGGCTTTGGCCTATAAAGCCCTAAACGGTTCCGACCCAGCTTATCTATCCGAAGGCATCTCTCCCTATGAACCCACCAGGGATTTGAGATTGTCAGAGGAGGCCCTGCTCTCGATCCCACCTGCTTCGCAAGCACGTTTGGCGGGGACGAGAGACAGGGCCTTCTTTGTGGTGGCCCTCCGGTTGTGGAACTCCCTGCCTAGGGATATTAGATTGGGTCCCTCCCTCCTGACCTTTCGAAAAAAACTGAAAACTTGGCTCCTTGAGCAAGCTTTTGGCACAGCGTCATAATCAGACAAATTTGAATCGGAAAATGATCCAGGAACGGCTAAGGATGATGGAACAGGCGAAGATCAAACATGATGACATAGTTTTAAATTTTTTATTGTTCACTGATTTTATGCTTTTAGATATATTGTGATGTTTTTCTTTGTTTTATTGAAGTATGTATTTTTATATGGCATCAAATTGTGCCGACTTGTTTGCCGCCCTGAGTCGCCTCTGGGCTGATATGGGCGGATTAGAAATGGAGTAAATAATAATAAGTAATAATTAAGGTCTGCAATGACAAAATCATTAACTACACTCAGGAGCTGTAATTAAAAGTTGCTGAACTGCTGACACTGATAAGAACTGTGACAAACGATTAACTGTTGACATTGCTGATTTGATGAACTTTGAGAGAAAATAACTTGTTTACGTTAATTAGAGACAATGGCTCTTTAAAGTTAAGGAAATGTTTACAAGATTCCTTATATTACAAAGGAAGCAAAGGAAGCTGCCTCCTCTCAAGAAGCTGATCAAGTTCAACAAGAACCGTTTTAATGTTTTTTTAAAAGTACTTACAACATTTTTGGGGCTATGAGCAGGATTCCAGATAGGATTTTGTTTCCTGAAAGCGAGACAGAATGTGTTAAGAGTAACATGGAGAAATAAGGTTGACACCTGGTAGGAAAATCAGTAAAAGCAAACAGGTTCGGACTAAATTTTAAAGTACCAAGAGTGTGGGAGCATCCCCGTTCTCTAAAAAAGTATGCCTTGGTGTATTGAGAAAAGAAAATCCCTGAATGAAGGGGGAAAGGATCCTTCATATGGGAGTCCATTTTTAATAAAGTCAGGAAAGGTTAAGGATTTCAAGGAAAGCTTAGGGAAATCCCCATTCCACGACCAGCTCAGTACAATATGCCCCTTGATGCACTTTATCCCATCTGTAGAGAAGTGTTTATTATAAAGGGTTTAATGTACTGTGTTTAAACTGTATTTATGTTTTACATGCGTGGCCATGGCCTAGCTGTGAGAGATAGGTTGCCATGGTGACAAGGCAGAAGAGAAGGTGGGCGGAGCTTAAGGAGATAAAGCTTTGAAAGTAACAGTTAAGAGTCAGTCAGGAGGATGAGACCCTGAGAAGAGGGGGGAGTCAGTTAGGGCTCTGTGTGGTGAAGCAGTATAAATTCAGTTAGTTCTTAGCATTTGTGAAAATTTCTTCAGCAAGGGAGCTGAAGGTGAAACCTTGTTAGATTGCTTGTGTTAAAAAGAATCTAACAAAGGGGGTTTTAGGGATCCCAGTAGTGAAAGACTGGAGATCGGTGGTTTGATCCGGTATAGGACAAACAGAGTGAATATTCACAACAGGGAACACTGAAATAATAAAGTACTTCACTGAAGAAGGAGTTTAAAGGATTGTAACATTAGAAGCCTGAATGTATCTCTACCAAGCCATATTGTAACCATCAACTTTGTGCCAAGTTCAACATCTTAGTGTTGCAACAATTACGCTCTGTTAACAATAAACTTGTTCTCTCTGTGTTATAAATCTGCCTCCTCCATTGATTTTACATTTGGTGCAATCCACTCTACCAAAGTTTCCTCACAACGCAGATAGGGATGAACAGAGACTTCAATTCCAACATCTCTTTATATATATAATGGTGGCAGTGTAATCAAGCAGTATTGGGACTTCCTTATAATTTATGCTGAAATTAGGTGGATCAACATACATATTTACTTAATTTTGGTAATCCCATTTAGGTGGGATTACGCTTCCTTACACCATCCTTTAGTGAAACTCACCGCATTGCTTGTCCCATCTGAGATCTCCCATCAGGCACACTGCCCTACTCATCCAGCTCACTTAGGGTTTTTATACTTTACAATTTTAACAGGCCCTGTCTGTTAAATTTTTTTTGATGTGGCTTGTTGGTGCCTGGGGGAATCTTTTGTTGAGAGGTGATTAGCTATCCCTGATTGTTTCCTCTCTGTTGTTTTGCTGTTGTAATTTTAGAGTTTTTTAATACTGGTAGCCAGATTTTGTTCATTTTCATGGTTTCAAGTCTTTTCTCCCTCTCCCTCTCTCTGTTTCTCTCTTTTCCTCCTCCTCCTTCCCGACCTTTTGAGCCCCAGAAGTTCGCCGCCATACTGGTGCTCCGGCAGAACCACAAACCAACACTTTTGGAGTTTGGGGAAGACCTTGACATTTGGGAGTTTCTTGGCTGTATATTTCACCTGCAATCAAAAAGCAGTGCATGGTGTGGGTTGGGGGGTGGCTGAGGGAGGGTGAATGAGTGAGTGAGGGAGGGCAGGAAAGGGACAGTGGTAGCAGAAGCCTAGTCGCCTCTTTCAGGCTCCTGTTTCTGCTGCCGGTGCCGCCTTTACTGTCCTCCCTCGCTCGTTCACTCACTCACCAGGCTTGGTCCTGGTGGCAAAGGGGACTGTGGCGCAGCTGGCTGGGAGTCAGCTGCATTAAGATCACTACTGACCAAAAGGTCATGAGTTCGAAGCCAGCCCAGGTCAGAGTGAGCTCCCGACCAAAACTGTGTCACTTGTAGTTGACCTTTGCAGCCTGAAAGACAGTTGCATCTGTCAAGTAGGAAAATTAGGTACCACTTTGTGGGGAGGCTAATTTAACTGACTTACGAGGCCATAAAAAATCTCCAGGAAGTATGCAAAGAATGAGGAAGCGGCAGCTCCCCTGGTGGCCAGAAGTTGGAATGTTAAATAGTCTCTGAGTGTCTGTCTATATATGTTGTGTGTCTATGATAAAGGTTTTCCCCTGACATTAAGTAATCCGCCCTGAGTCACCTGCGGGGTGAGAAGGGCAGAATATAAATGCTGTAAATGAATGAATGAATGAATGAATGAATGAATGAATGAATGAAGCTAGCAGCAGCAAAAGGAAGGAAGGAGAGCGGTGAGGAGCCAGGGCCAGGAGTGTTTTCCATGCATGCACTGTGTCATCCTCTCCTTTTTAACAATTGAAAGAAGAAAGCGCAAAAGCCGGGTTGCAGCTAAACGTCAAAAAAACCAAGATTATGGCAACAAGAATG